AAGTGCATGTTCTCAGCCACCACTCCAGACCTACAGAATCAGAATGTGCATTTAAACAAGACTTCCAGGTGACACACACGCATATTAACATTTCAGAAGACTCACTCAAAATAAGTAAATAATGGTTTATTATTTCACATAGAAAGAAATCCAAAGATAGATAATTCTGATTAATTATTGTAAAACAATGTAAATCTAAGTGCTTTCCAACTTTTCACTTTGGCATCCTCAGTCCTTTTGTCCACAGGTATAATATTTTGTTGTAACAAAGTGGCTGTCACAGCTCCAAGCATCACATCCTCACAAAACCACTTTTCAAAAGCAGGAAAGGCAATCTATCCTTGTGCTTCCTTTTAATAGAGGAGGAAAGTACTTCCTAAAGGCACCCCAGTAGGCCTCTCTTTATGTCTCATTCACCAGAACAGTGTCACAATCTGTCTTCAAACTAATAACTGGCCACAGGAAACAAGATTGTTATGTCTGCCTAAACTAATCATGGTTCATTCCCTCGAGCTAGGAAAGAGCCAAAGGATGCTTGAATCAAATGGGGTGGGGGACTCCTATCAGCAGGGACCATAATCTCTACTGTATAGGTGCTACATGGGCATGTGATGAGAGAGGAAGTAGCATTACTAAGGGGATACAAAATCAGTAAAGAAGAAGGGAAATGTGGATAATGTTCCCAATCTTGCAAAATACTGAGAATGAATGGAAGCGAGTATCACACGATATATTTGACAAACAACAAATGTATCTAGTGATCACAAAGTGACCTGTATGAAGAGTGAAGTAGTAGAGAAGAGATGAAAGAAAGCTTTCAGGGGCTTAGAGAAATACTCAATAGAAACAATTTGAAATTTTGCCAGAAAAAAGGAGAGTAGAGTGAGAGTTAAAGAGTAGCTCTAAACCGGGCGTGGTGGCACACGCCTGTAATCCCAGCACTTGGGAGCTGAGTTAGGAGGATCATTGTGAGTTTGAGGCCAGTCTGGGCTACAAAGTGAGCTCAAGGCCAGCCTGAACAGCATAGCAAGACCCTGTCTTGCAAAGACAAAAAAAAATAAAAAATAAAAAAGCATAGCTCTAACAAGGGAAAGTTTTCTTTCTGTCCTCCCCTTGCTTAATTCATCCCTTGTTGCAGCTCATACCTGAAAATGTCAAGAGAATCAGTGAAATAAAGAATGAAGGGTTTGCTAGCAAGGAAAGAGAAACGTCTTTGGGGACCTTGACTATCTCAGTGAAAGGACAGGCAAGTTATCTGTAGAGGAGAGAAATGTGGAATAGGTGCTCGTGGTGGTGGCCCTCAAAGTATTGTTTCCAGACCAGCAGCAGCACCTGCGAGCTTGTTAGAGGCGCACATTTTAAGGCCCCACCTCAAACCTGTGGAATCAAAAGCTCTGGGAACAGGATGCAGCCATCTGTGTGTTAAGCCCTGCAGGTGATTCTGACACATGATCAAGTTTGGGAACAACCATGCCAGGAAATTTTCTGTATAGTACCTACCTGTACGCATACCTCTGCAGTTAAACTATTTTGAGTTTGTCAGGTCAAGAAATGTTTTGCACTTTGTTCTGCATTACTCACTCCAGACAGGTACACTTGTGAGTCCAGGTCGTTTCACACCCTGAGGCCATCCTGGCCTTGTGCAAGTGTAGGGATCTTCAGATAGACTAGGAGCCTTTCACTGTAGAAGTTCTGGTTTCCATCTTCCATCCTTGCTGGGCTGCTAATTACATTTTTTCCCCTTACCCAGGCTCTTCTTGAATTCATAGACAGAGGGTCACTGATTGGGTCCTTTTTTGTCCGCTAATGTCTCTGCATTGTTCAAACATAGAAGTCTGTACCCCTTAGCATGGAAGCCCAAGCCTTCTACCATTTCTACTTGGCTCTTCCTGTGTCATGTAAAGAAACAATTTTTCCTTGGCTTTTTTCACTCCTGTGGAGATATAAATAGCATGCATGTATTTATTTTGTGCCAGTTTCCCTTAGGATGTCTGCAGATGTTAACAGATACTTCAAAGTCTGAAGAGGAACATCAGCTTTTTCACACTGGAGTGGGTGGAGAGTGGAAGGCCCTAAGTCCCTTTTAACTAACTCGGTTCGTTATCAGGATTGGTGTTTTCTCTGCTAAGACTTTCTTTCCTAACAAGAATATTATTTACTTTAATGGAAATTTTATATCTATGCTAAATTCATAGACATTCATTCCTTCACTGTCAAAATGCATACTTGTCTGAACTCAGACAAACAGGCCACTTAACATGATTCATGTGACATAAGAATAAATTGAACTGACATAAATCTGGAAATTAATTATTTATAGCCATGGAAAGGATTTTTGTTCATCAGATTGTATGTTATTACCAATTCTTGATTACTGATGTTAGTGCAGTAAATTCATTTATTGCTTCATTAAAAATATCAGTTGAACATCTCTCTGTTCTTAGCACTTGGGCAATAATGGTGAATAAGGTCGTGGCACACCCCTGTAATCCCAGCACTCTGGGAGGCTGAAGAAGGAAGATCACAGGTCTAAGCCCAGCCTGGGTGATTTAGCAACTTAGAGAGACCCTATCTCATAATAAAAAATAAGAAAGAGGGGGACGTGTAGCTTAGTGCAAAGGTCTTGGGCTCAATCTCTAGTACCATAAAAAAGAAAGATAAGAAAAACATCTGCACAAGAGATTTTGAGAAACAGAATGCCAAAGTGGGTGACAGGAAAAATAAGTGCTAGGAGTTCACAGGCAACAGTGCTTTCAGCAGTTCAAATGACTTCAGGAAGAAGTAAGTTATCCTCATAGGAAGGTGGGAGAGGGAGAGAGGCTCAGACAATTAAAGTAGGAAAAAAGTAGCAAAATAGAAGGCAGAGGAATAGCTCATTTTTATGGCTTGGATCTAGAATGTTCCCCCCAAAGTCTCATGTGCTCAAAGGAAGACCTTTTGGATGGTGTTTGTGACACAGCCAGCGACTACCAAAGGGACAGAGAACAAACAACCTCCAGGGCTCTTCACCTCATGCTCATTAAAAGCATGATCTGCAGTTCCTTCTGAGGCAGCCAGAGACTTAAAAGCGGTTTTTGCTAAAAACAGTGACTCTTCATTTGAGCCTACAGATGCCTAATAGGTAACTAAAAGTAGAACAGTGCCTGACCATTTAGTACCTTAAAACTTTGGGTCAGATCCTGGTTCAATTCTGCACTTAGGCATGTTAATCATTTGGGGAGAGTCTGTCTAAAAGCTGGCGAAACAATGTCATTTACTTCTATATATACACAACCTATTCTTTCCCCTTTTAAGACTAGGGAAACAGAGATAAGAGATTTATGGGGACATTCAACTAAAAATGAGCACCCAGACGTAGCCAGTAGTTGCCCTAAACCTAAGCCACCTTGAGTTGCAGTAGAGCCTCTATATGACTGAGACTGCCCCAAGCAGAAGTAATCATCTCAAGGAGATAAAATTGCCCCCTGAAGCAATAAGGCCTCCTGGAGCCACCTTGCAAAACCAGAATTAAGATAATGATCAACCAGACTCTAGTCACCCTAGCAAATCCATAAAAAAAAGGTCTGGTTTTTTTGGTAACGCGCCAATTGGATCATCTTCTTCAGAGCTGTGCCACCTTGAACACCCCAAGCTAAAGTGCCTTCCCTGTTTTCTCTTACTTTCTAGCTCCTCCTATGCCTTCTACTGACACATCTTGCAATTCTTATTCCGTGATGAGTTAAGAACCTATTCCAAGGGCCAGAGATGTAACTCAGCAGCACAGTGCCTGCTTGGCAAGTGCAAGGCCCTGAGTTTGCTTCCTGGTACAAAAAAAAAAAAAAAAAAAAGAACCTACTCCAAGGGGTGAGTTGAGGTCCCCATTTCCTCTTTGGGAGGACCTTAGAGCCCATCTGATGATAACTGGATGATGAGGGCTTCAGCTTCCTCAGTGGAATAATCCATTGATGGATTAAATTTAATGGCATTATTGGGAGGTAATGGAAACTTGCAAGGCAGAGCCTCGTTGAAAAGAATGGGTCATAGGGTGTGGCACTGTGGACTACTGTATATCTGTCCCTGTCCCTTGTTCTCTGGCTCTTGCTCTGTCTGCTTCTAGCTGCCATACGATGGACAGCTTTGCTCCTCTCTTCCCGTCCACCATGATGTTTCTGGTACAGGCCTAAAAATAATGAAATCAGCAGACCATGGACTGAAACCTCTGAAACTGTGAATCAAAATAAACTTTCCTTCTCTAGATCTCAGAGTAAAGGCAAGTGTGTGGACCAGTAAGTAGAGCAGAGGTTACAGATGGTGAAAAGTGAGGAAATCATGTTTAAGTAAAGTTACAAAATTCTAAGGTTTCCTCAAGTTCTCTGGAAGAGACAGAGATTAAGTGTAGTTTATCACTGTATAGTAAAACTTCAAATGACTATATAGAGTCTGGTCAGCCCCTTGGCAGGAAATACAATGCACTGTCACCCTGGATGATTGAGAACAAGTCAATAAAATACCTGTTTACAAAAAATAAGGAGGTTAATGAACACTTTATTTGCATCCTGGGGCTTGAACCCTGTGCATGCTAGGCAAGTGGTCTACCACTGAATTACATAACCCCTTAATGGACACTTTAAAGAACCAGAATAGCTATAGCAGGGGAGCCCAAGGACAAAGAGAAGGAGAGGCCACCAGAACCCCAGAACCCAAAGAGAGTAGTTATGGAAGTAGTTGAGTTACTTGACCAGATTTGTAGTCTTAGGTGGAGGAATGCAGCCAACCCACAGAGCCCCAGGACAAGAGCCAGGAGAAGAAATCCCCAATCTCATAGTCCGACCCCCTGCTCCCTTGTTGGCATCTCCCACTAGTCAAATCCGACCAGAAGCCGGAGGGAAAGGTTTACCCAACAGACCACATGACTCAGTTCTATGATTACACCCTCTTGGAACTCTTCCATCTGTGTATAAAAGACAGGCACAAATACTGTCTTGCAACACTGTTTTTAGTAGTCATAAATGGGGACTGGTTGGGAAGAATCTGAAAGTTTTATCAGTAAAGACCAGCTGTATTAATTTTGCATGCTTATATCTGGTAATCTGAACAACTACTTTGAAGGTAACAATATGCAATATAACAACTATTGTTGATTTCCTATATCTTGTTTTGCAATTGTGTATCATTTTTAATGTTTTTTTTAATTTTTATTCTCTTTTTAAAAAAAGACCAGGTGTATTGAGGTATATGCATTTATTAGAATGTAATTCAACCATTAAAATGATATACTGGATGTGTGTGTGTGTGTGTGTGTGTGTGTGTGTTAGAGAGATACATGCAGTATGGGAGATACAGAATAAAAATATTTAACAAAACAAAAAGTAATTGCTGTAATTGCTTACATCTCATGGACATATACATGATAGAAGTATAAAAACATGAATGGTGAATGGGTGAAATTAGAAAAAAATTGTGGTAGAGGCTTCCTGTGGTGAAGGAGGAAAGGAGAATAGTATTAGGGAAGATAGAAAAAGTAGCTGTAAAAAAAAAAAAAAGTAGCTGCATTACTCAGGGCTCTCTACAGAAACAGAACCAATGAGATAGATAAATATATGCAGCATGATGAAAAAATATAGTGAATGATTAAATAAAAATTTTAAAATGTATTACAGTAAAAGGTATATTGCCATTAATCTACCTCAAAATACTTAAAACACACTTATCTATCATTTCTGCCACATTCTGTTTTTCTGTCTTGGGTTTTGTTCTGCTTTGTTTGTGACAGGGTCTCAATTATATAGTCTGGGCTGGCTTTGAACCCACCATGTAGCCCAGGCTAGCCTCAACCTTGCAGTGATCCTCCTGTCTCAGCCTTCTGTGTGGTAGGATTATAGGCATGAATCATCACGCTTGGCTATCTGCCACTTTCTGAATCAGTTTTGGAAGTCCTTTTTCATGGCTGCCTCAATGTCTTAAATCAACTTGAAATTTGCAATTCTGTCAAATAAAAATACTATGGTGTGTCCTCTTCACCTTTTCACAGGACCCAGCACCATGGAACTTCCGGATCTTCCCTCAGATCAAAAATACAATGAAAGGTAAATGTTTTGAATCAGTTCAGGACATTGAGGCAGCTGCACAATGCAAATAAGATTCTCATGAAAGAGGACTTCCACAACTGCTTCATGGAGTGTCAAGAACAAAGGGATAAGTGTGTTAGAAACGAGGAGGAGTACTTTGAGGGGGATTGATGGCAATGTGTCTTTCACTGTATAATTTTTTTAGTTTAAACAGTCACTGTAGTTTTAATCATACCTTGTAGATAGACAGACAGACAAAATTTTTTAAAAATTAAGGTGTTGGGCATATAGCTCAGTAGTGGAGTGCTTGCCTAGGCTATGTGAGACCCTGAGTTCAATCCCTAGGACTGCAAAAGGAAAAAAATGTGATTATATGGTACGTGAATTATATTTTCATGAAGCTGCTTAAGGGCTGAGGGTAATTCAGTGGGTCAGTGGCTGAGCACTTGCCCAGCAGAGAAAAGGCCCTGGTTGATTTCCAAGGGAGGGAGAAGGAGGGAAGGGAGAAGGGGAGGGGACGCGGAAGTGGGGAGAGGAGAGAGATCAGAAAATGTAGTTCGGACTTCACGAGTGACTAGTTTTGGTGTCTGGAGAGCGGAAGCAGATAAAGAGAATGTCAAGTATTTGATTCATTATGAAGGGAGAATGTAATGGTGACCTCCACCAATGGAAATTGGACAATGTGGAAACTGAAAGAAATAAAAAGAAAGCTTGGAAGAAGAGATCTAATAACATCAAGGAAAAATATAAAGGCACGCTATTATTTCTAGATTGATTTGATTTGATTCTAGTTTCTTTCCCAGAAGCTCCCAGAAAATGTCTTTTTCATGTATTTCATATTTCATGGGTCTATATTTAGTCATAGTCCTAGACCAAAAGCTGAATCAGTCTCGGTATGGCAGAAAAGCTAGTTATTCTTCTGCTTCTATGCTGCCCTTTTTCCTTTTAGCAGAACCACCATTTTCCCATTTCTGTTGGGAAAATGCCTATTCCCTGTTCTCTTTTGGCTAGATGTGTCCATTGGCTAAATGTGTTTATATGACTAAGTTCAAGCCAGTGAGATGGAAAGGAAAATAATATGTACACCTTCTAGGTCATCTCCTTAAGGACAGAACTGCTTGTTGTGAACTCTACCTTTGCTTTTTCTGCAGAACATGGAGCATGGAGCTGAGCCAGCTTCAACCACGTAAGCAGGAGATGGTGGTACAATCAGATTACAAGAAGAAATTGTGTTCCTTGATGGCAGGTAGAACAGAGCTACCCAGTTCATCCTGCATGTATGACTACTGATTATTTTGTTAAGAGTCAGAAGTAAATTTTCATCTGATTTAAGCCACTACTTTTGGATCTGTTTGTTACCATAGCTTAGCCTCTACCTAAATCAATACACTAGGGAAGAGGGTGAGCTGATGGAATTAATCCAATCAGGACTCACCTCTGGTGGGGGCTGGGGGTAAGGTCCATTTTCCCCTGAAGCACATGGGTTTTACAGAAGACAGTGAACATCTGAATGAAAAGTCCAGGTGATTTTCCAAAGAAGAAGTGGGAAAGGACTGCAAGCAACCAAAAGCAGAAAATATCCACTACCCCATAGAACAGGGTTTCTCGGCTTGAGCACTACTGTCATTTGGGAATGTGCAGCTCTTCATCCAGCACATTGTAGAATGTTAGCAGTATTCTTAGTCTCTACCCATTATATCTCCCCTTGTCACGACCAAAATGTCTCCAGACATTACCAAATAACCCTGGGGTAGAGGGCTTTCCTGTGTTAAGAAGCATTGCTCAGAAACAGCCTTGAAGTTGCCTTTCATACCTCTGACCCCTAATCTTTTTCTCTAACCACTTTTATTTAATTTGGTAACAAAAATATGCCAGGCTAGGAAATAAGGACTTTATTCTGAGTGCTTGTAGGGTAAAATCTAAGCTCTCAAGCAAGGCTTCCAAAACCTTTTACACACACACACACACACACACACACACACACACACACTACTGTCACAGTCCATTTTTTGCTTCTATAACAGAATAGCACAGGCTGGAGAATTCATAATGAACAGAGAGTTATTTTGCTTATGGCTCTAGAGGCTGGTGAGTCTAAGAGCAAAGGGCTACATCTTGCTGAGGATAGATGAGTCATAACACAGTAGAAGCATCACATGGTGAAAATGCAAGAAAAAACCAAACTCACTTGTATAACAAATCTATTCTGATGATAATAAACCTGATCCAGAGATAACAATATTAATCCATTAATGTGACTGGTATCCTAATCTCATAAAAGCCCTATTTCTCTGCACTATTGCACTAGAGATTAAATTTCCAACAGATGGACTTTTGGGAATACATTCAAACCATAGCAACTACCTTACCTGTCTCATCTACAATCCTATCCCCACATAGCCATTCTCTAGCAATACTGAATTTCTCACTGTTCTCACTTTTTTTCACTTGTATGGTCTTTTCACTGTTCTTTCTGCGAAGAGTACAATTCTCCATTTCTGTCCCAGCAAAATTTCTATAAACTCTTTCAGACTCAACTCAAATGTAACCTCCTATATTTAAAAAAAAAGAAGAAATAGTCCTTAAATTTCCCAAGAAAACTGTTCCTCCTAACTACTTTGTTTATATCTGTAAGGTCATGCTTGGCACAATTTGCTGTAATTACCTGCAATAAATAATTGGTGCGTGGTAATTGCTTTTGAATCCCCAGTCCCTAACAAAGTGCCTGACACTGCTTGTTGTATGGATGAATGAAAGGAAGAAACTGTTAGAGTAGGCTCTTCAGATTTCACCAATAAAAACTGTAGCTTGGCCAGACTATTTGCTTGTATTAGACTGGGTTTGCAGCAGGTGTCTCTGTCACTGAGCTGGGAAGCAGGTGGAAGGCTAAGCTCAGGACACCAAATTGAATATTTGCAGCACTGCACCTTGGCAGTCCTTGGATTCCTGGGCATGAAGTGTGTAAGTGGTAATTTGCAGCTGCCCCTGCCAGGCAGATACTGAATGATACTGTACATTATAGTTTATTTTTCATAAACTTCTGTCCCTGACATCATTTATATCATAGAGCAGAGTCAGTCTTTTCAAACAAATCCATTTGCCTGTCTTTATAGAATCCCAGTTAAAGAGTTTAAAATGTATTTTGGAGATAACAGATATATTGAACATATGAGCCACATAAGTCCTGTGTGAATATCTGAAACAGAATTCCAATATCCAGACAACAAAAGTTAGAAACGTATGCCTGTTTGCCACATTTACAAGACTCATTTTCTTCTGACTGGGTTGTACAGCTCTCTCCACTTTCGAGTACTATTATCAGAATATTCCCATGGCATGGACCCTGGAAACAGTCTGCAAGCTTACTTTGCTGTTTCTCATTACTAGATTCTCATATTGCTGGCAGAATTATCTTCTTGGTGATTTAAATATGCCGTATTTGTGAAAGTCTGTTGCTATGGTTTGGGTAAACCCCTTCCCTCAAAGACTACTTTTTTGTTTTGTTCTTGAGACAGGGTCTTGCTATGCAGTTCAGGATGGCCTTGAGCTCACTTTGTAACGCAGGCTGGTCTCAAACTCTCAACAATCCTCCTGCCTCAGCCTCCCAAGTGCTGGGATTATAGGCATGTGCCACCACACCCAGCAAGACCACAGTTTTAAAGGCTTGGTTTTAAAGGCTTGGTTCGCCAGCAGTGATGCTAGTAGGAAATATTGGAACCATTAAGAGGTGGGGCCTACTGGGAGGTTTCCTGTGTATTTGAAGAGGGTATTGGGACCCAACCCCTTCCTATCTTTCTTACACTTCCAGCAATGCAGTGAGGACTTCTTTCTCCATCGACACCCACCGTGATGTGGTGCCTCACCACAGGCCCCAAAGCGACAAAGCCAACTAGCCTCAGGCTGAAATCTCCCAAATTCTAAGCCAAAATATACCTTTTCTCATTTTTGGTTGATTACCTCAGGTGTTTGTTACAGTAAAAGCAAGCTACCCAGTACAAACATCTGTTTAGGATAGCACAAACCCTGCAGGGCAGCCCGGAAATAATCAGAATGTCACAACTGATACAGAAACTCTACTGGGCTCTTTTTTGAAAACCTAAACTTAACCTTGTGTTCATCTTACAGTTACAGACAGATATCTGCTTTGCCATACAGAAGCTCAAGGTGAGAAAGGAGAAAGGGGAGAGGGAGAACATAGAGCTAGAGAGGGGCAAGAGGTCTCAGGGTCCCCGTCATGACTTTCCTGACCTGGCCCACTGGATCTCAACTCTGTTGCCCCACTAGAACCACTGTGATGCCTCGGCCCAAATTAAATCAGAATCACAGATACTATCAGCCACTGTTCAAATATCCAAGAATGTATCAGTTGTCCGAACAATCTTCTATTTCATAAACAGAGAACCCAGCTCTATGTTGGGTAAGCAGAGCCTTGCAATAGTTCTACCAGGAATCTATGGAGCTAGGGAGGGATTGTTTCCCTGTCTCTCCCCCTCTAGCCTCTATACCCCAAATAGGACAGGTTACCAGAAGACAGGGGAGGGTTACTGAGCAAGAGAAAATGAAAAGCAATTATAGTACCATAGTTGGTATAATTGAGACTAGGGCTTCAGGTTCACACATGGAGTCTGAACAACAATTACTAGCTGCTTGAATCTTTTTTTAGATCAGAACCTGGGTGGGGCTGAGCTTGAACCTATAAGTAAACAGAGCGAGGAAACTCACAGTTCAGGGCAGGTGGCAGAAAAAGATGGGGGCATATTTTCTTAGCTTTGAGTGAAGGGGATAAAAATCCGGAGGAAAATCCCCATGTTTTCCACATTGACATCGATATCTTCCAATGTTGGGAATTTGAAGATAAATGTGTATTTAAAAGCCTCACCCTTCCCTAAAATGTTTCAGCTGTGTTATATAATACATACCCAATTGAACTAAGATATGATTCATCATTTACGTGTAATTCTGTCTCTTATTCATCAGGTGTGTGATATTTGTCAAAGTTATTACGATGTTAAGGTTTAAGAGAAGAAAGTAAATTCTGTGTTGGTTCCTTGCTACTCCACCAGGGACAAAGCAGTTGAGGGAATAAAGTCTCATATTTATAGGCTGCATGTCAAAGTTCTGTGTGGTGCAGAGAAGTTGCTGCTCTAGGAAGTAAAGTTTTGCCTAAAGAGTTTTGACCTTGCAGCCCTTGTAGGTCTGAAGGGAGCATATATCCTGGAGTAGCCTTTACTAGAGAATAAGAATTCTGCTTATTAAGCAGAATGTTCCTACGGAACATTTATTCTTACCTACATACACCCAACTCTCCATTTTATGAGTTGAGAAAGCAATATTGATGCTACATAGTGACTTTCTACTCTCTAGGCTTTGTACCGGATGCTTTGTATGCTGTAGTTTACTTAATCTCCACAATCACTCTGTGAGATAGAAATTAGCACCAGGTCAGGTGGCTGAACTGAACACATCTGACTGGATATTTTAGGTGTTTCTCTCTCTCATCTTTTTGTCACTGTGACAAAATACTTGAGGATAAACAACTTAAAGGAAGAAAAATTTATTTTGAGTCATAGTTTTAGTCCATGGTCAGCTGGTTCCATTGTTTCCTGGCCTGTGGTGAGAGAGTCCATCATGGTGGACGGATGTGGTAGAGGCAATCTGCCTACATTATGGCTGCTGGAAGGAAACAGAGAAGAAGTAAAGAGGAGGAAGGAAAGGGAGCAGAGGGGAAGGAAGGGAAGGAGACTGGGTCCTAATATATATCCTTCAAAGCCTGCCCACCAGTGACCTACTTTTTCTACTAGGCCCTACCTTTACAGTGACTTCCTCCACTCAATAGTGCCATGAGAGGCAACTAAGCCTTTAGCAAATGTCCTTTGGGGGACATTGCAGATTCAAACCCTAACAGTCTCTTACACCCAGGGTTTCCCACTTTCTCCACTTGACTTGAAGAACTGTATAGTCTGGTTCCTTAATTGCCTCAGATCACTCACAAATTCTGACACCTGGGATTGGAGCCTGGGGCTCAGCTGCCAGATCTCCCTGGCTTCTCTTGGCAATGGCCTTTTGACTTTCTTCTAATCATGTGCCAGTGGCCTGCCCCTCCTGCTTGGACTGACCCTCAAAGGCTACTGCAACTTTGCTTCTTAGAAGTGGTGTCCATCTGTCTTTTCCCTTTAGGTTCATCTTTTGGCATTGCCATTTTCTCCAAAGCTTATGTCAAAGAAAACGGAATTAGTTGTACTTCTACATCTGGGCCG